CTCCTGGCCGAGCCGCTCACCCACGATGGTGGAGAACCTGCGTGTGGGCTCCTTGCCGGTCACCAGCTTGTACAGCTCCGGGTAGTAGAACTCGAGGCTCTCCAGGAACACCACGTAGCCCCGCTGGCCCTTGGTGTGCAGGATGTCCAGCAGGCGGCCTAGGGACACGGCCCGTCACTCGGCGCCCAGAGCACAGGTGACCGGACCCAGGTCCCACGTCCAGCCTCATCCCGGACTCCCATCCCTCAGCGAACTCGGAGAAGACAGCGTCGCCACAGCCGTCGCTCCCGAGGTGCCTCCCGGGTCCAGGGGGTGGAAATCAGCGCCAGGCCCCCAGCGGGGATGCGGTGGCTGCCAGCTCCCTTCCTCTGCGACACTGGGGGGACCCGGGCACGGCCTCAGGACACCCACAGCTTCCCGTCGCCCGGGTTACAGTGAGCCACGCTGGCTCGGCTCCCTGACCGGAGGAGGGGGAAGTGCAGTGGCCACTACAGCGTGGAGGGTGTTCTCTGGGCTTCGGAGCAGAAAGCACATTCTGTGCGGGGAGCTAGGAGTCCCCGGAAGCAGGCCGCTCCCCTGGGGGCTGCCAAGCGCCTGGAAACAGCTTTAACGCCAGAGGGATGTGCCCACAGGTCTCTGCCCCACGGGTTCTACTTAGTGTTTACATGTCCTGGCCTCCCTTCACTGTTTCACTTCCAGACGTTTCTTCCCTGGAGGTCCCCGAGCTCGACGTGTCCCCAGGACGGCAGGACACGCGTGTGTCATCTTGTGTGGGCTGCCGGGGTGTGGGCTGCCGGGGTGGCAGGGCTGCGGGTGTGTGGGTGCCGACGTGTGGGCTGCAGGCGCAGTGGGGGGCGGGGCTGGAAGTGACAGCCGCGCTGGGCAGGAGAGCGCTGAGATGGGTGATGAGTGTCGTGTTCACAAAGGACAGTCACAGCGCACGAGCCACTTAGCGCCCATCACGTCGTGGGGAAGTGACTCCAAGCCTTTTAAACTGTGAGCCACAGAGAGAGACATGTATCCTGTGACCGCGTGTGCCGCACAAGGACAAATACACACACGGGTGTGTACACACAGGCACGTGTATAAAACCACAACTAGTTTCACAAACCAGACTTATCGCCTTGAGTGAATGTAATAGAGTGCCAGGCAGCCCTAAGGCGTCCGACAGACCCCTTCGCAGAAGACTCTAGGGCAGCGGTTCTCAACCTGCGGGTCGCGACCCCTCTGGGGGTCGAACGACCCTTTCACAGGGGTCGCCTAAGACCATCGGAAAACGCATATATAATTACATATTGTTTTTGTGATTCATCACTATGCTTTAATGATGTTCAATTTGTAACAATGAGAATACATCCTGCATATCAGATATTTACATTATGATTCATAACAGTAGCAACATTACAGTTATGAAGTAGCAACGAAAATGATTTTATGGTTGGGGGTCACCACAGCATGAGGAACTGTATTAAAGGGTCGCGGCATTAGGAAGGTTGAGAACCACTGTTTATATATGTGTTTTCCGATGGTCTTAGGCGACCCCTGTGAAAGGGTCGTTCGACCCCCAAAGGGGTCGCGACCCACAGGTTGGCGACCCACAGGTTGAGAACCGCTGCTCTAGGGTGTCCCCAAAACGTATGCACACCCTTTGAATAATTATATAGGCAGTGTTTATTAAAGCACATTTCCTTTTCAAAATTGAGCTGTCAGCTGCTAAAGTGTGCACACATTTTTTGGGGACACCCTGCATTCTTAAACAGATACAACGCATTGGGTTCCAGGGGGTATCAATGATGGTAGAATACAGTTCTCGAACAGCAAAGTTATGACTCAGTAAGAAATGTGCTTCTTTATGCCTGAAGTGACGCTCTCTCGGCAGATCTAACGGCCACTCTAACTCCGAGGGAGCGATGAGTGTAAATGGCGTGTGGAGGGACTGTGACCGCGGTAATGGAAATGAAGACGTCGGTGGTTGTGACGGGTGACCACGTCCCAGGTATCGCTAATCACCTGCTTTGTCGCCTGCCTCCACCCATCAGCGGAGGGGTGCTCCCCTCAGGCCGGGTAGGAAAGTAAACACCGACCCTCTCAGTTCTACCGCTTGGTGGGGGGCAGGGCCGGGCAGAGGGCCGTGGGCCCAGCTGATAATTCCCGCCCTGGAGAAACTTCACGCTGGCACACTAGCTGGAGGGGTTTCCTGGGGCCGCCACCAGGGGCAGCCCGCCCGCCCCGTCCCCCTCCCCGTCCCGGGAGCGGCTGGCTCACCTGCGCGGTTGATCTTGGAGGGCAGCATGGGCGCGTTGAGCACCTCGTCCTCGTCCTGCTCGTCGATGACCTTGCACTGGCGCAGGTAGGGCGTGAGCTTGGCCGGGTTGATGTAGCGGCTCAGCATGTGCCGGTTGCACTCCACGTTCTCCCACAGCGCGTCCTCCTCGTCCTTGAGCGTCTCCATGTAGTCGTCCATCCCGGGGCCGCCTCCTGGCACACAGAAGGCACGCGGGTCACCCGGGAGCTCACGGGACCGCGGTACCGAGTCCTTCAGGGTGACCTCTGGACGCTGTTGGGTTCTAAAGGTCAAGCAGGGCCTGGTTGGGCCTCATCCCGGGCACCGAAAGGGTGCCGGTTCGATTCCCGGTCAGGGCACATGCCTGGGTTTCGGCTCGATCCCCAGTGGGGGGCGCGTACGTGGGAGGCAGCCGATGGATGTGACACCCTCACGTTGATGTTTCTCTCTGTTCCCTTCCTCTCTCTCTCAAATCAATAAGCGATCCTTTAAAATAAATAGATAAATAAATAAATGAAAAGAGTCAGGCAGAGGAAAGCATTATGGTATTTTAACCATCTAAGAAAGGAAGGGAGAGGCCTGGCCAGGTCGCTCAGTTGGTTAGAGCGTCGTCTCGGTTCGCAATTCGGGTTCGATCCCTGGTCAGGGCACATACGAGCATCAATCGACGAATGCACACACAAGTGGAACGGCAAATCGGTGTTTCTCTCTCCCTCTCCCCCCTCCCTCTCGATAACCAATCAATCAGTAAATGAAAAGAAAGGAGGGGATAGAATACAGACAAGCAGGGTGAGCAAAAGTCGGCTCACAGGTTCTGGCTGTGACAGTAGCTTTACCAGCTCTGTGTTCCACATACTCACAACTGGAACGCTGCCTTTGCCACCCGTGTCTACATTCCTGTCTATGCTAACCACGAGCCACGGGCGGACAAGCCATAGTGTTAGGGCAACAACTCCTGGGAGAGGGGAGACGGCAGCGAGCGTACAGCCCTCCGAGTTCTCATGCCTCACGGGGAATTGTCCTCAACGAAGACCACCCGTGTGGTTATCTTTTGTTTTGCAGTTTCACGCCGATGGTGTCATGCTGCGCGCTTCCTCGCTTCCTTTTTCAACTTGCTTTCTTTTCTCTATGTTTTTGAGACTGATTTAGGTTGATATATATGTCTGATCTGTTCATTTTTTAAAATATGTATTTATTGATTTTTTAGAGAGAGGAAGGGAGAGGGATAGAGAGTTAGAAACATCGATGAGAGAGAAGCATCGATCAGCTGCCTCCTGCACACCCCCTACTGGGGATGTGCCCGCAACCAAGGTACATGCCCTTGACCAGAATCGAACCTGGGACCCTTCAGTCCGCAGGCCGACGCTCTATCCACTGAGCCAAACCGGTTAGGGCTAATCTGCTCATTTTTAAACAGCTTTAATGAAATATAGTTTATGTAGCACACAATTCACCTTTCTAAAGTGTACAATTCAAAGTACATTCACAGAGCTGCCCAGCGATCACCCCAATTCATGTTAGGACAGTTTCATCGCCCCCAAAGGAAGCGCCATGGGCATCCTTCTGATGTGCACCCCTCCCGCCCTGGGCACCCACTGACTTCCTTCCGGACACCTGCCTTTTCTGGACCTTCATGCACAGCAGGCGCTCAATTGTCAGGGTGACAGTGCCTGCGTTTCAAGTGCTTTATTCACGTCTAACGGTGGCACGTGTTCCGTGGTAAGACCATAGCAGCGTTATTTATCCCTTCCCCCCGGTTTTTGACTGGAACATTCAGCACTGTCTCCAGCGGGAGAGCATGGAGCAGCCTGACCAGGAGACAGTCCCCGGCCCTGCTCCAGGGAGCCATGGCTCTGAGGGATGCATGTGGCGGCCCCAGACACGCTGGTGTTAAAAGAGGAGATTTCAGAAAATACACAGGTCCTTTAAGAAAAAGCACTTTGGTCTTTGCCCCCTTTCCTACAACTCTCGGGATCTCGGTATCTGGAGGGGTCAGAGTGTCCTTTGTGTGGCAACGCGATGCGTCCTTGCTAGGGGCCCTGGAGAGCTCCAGGGTGGGCTGGTGGCCGGAAGACAAGCAAGTGACCGGAAGCGACTCAGCCCCACACCTGACCTCTGGGGAGGGGAGAGGCCAGAGAGTGAGTTCAGTCCTCCAAGGTGCCCGGTTGGCGTGGCTCAGGGGTTGAGCGTCGACCTATGAGCCAGGAGGTCAGGGTTCGATTCCCAGTCAGGGCACGTGCCCGGGTTGGGGGCTCGATCCCCAGTGGGGGGGTGTGCAGGGGGCAGCCGATCAGTGATTCTCTCTCATCATTGATGTTTCTCTCTCTCCCTCTCCCTTCCTCTCTGAAATCAATCAACATATATTTAAAAGAGGGAAAAAAGTCCTCCATGGAGAATGCCTTAACCAGCCATGCCCGTGTAATGACACCCCATAAAAACCCCTAAACACTGGGGTTCCCAGAGCTTCCAATTTGTGCCCACGTGCCCACGCTTGGAGGGGCACCTCAGCTCCAGGGCCCTGGGCCTGGGCATCTGAAGGAAGGGGACAGGCTGGTGTGGTGGGTACCCCGATACCCAGTGCTGCCTCCTACTCACACCCTCTCAGCGGCCACCGCCCTGCGGTCTCGTCTGTGGCAAATAGACCCCTGGCCCCGGCCGACTGAGCTGCCCAGGGAGGACCCACCCATGCGCCGGCTGCACCTCCCCCTGGGGCTTCCCCGGGCCAGAGACAGCGGCCGGGGAGCGGGCTGGGGCTGAGCGGAGGCCGGCACCTGGACGCCGTGGAGGTCAGAGCTGGGCCACCACCAGCGGGCAGAGCGGGGAGGGAGGCAGGGAAGCGACGCCGTGTCACCGCCGTGACCGACCCGCGCGTCCACGAGAAGTGGCAGGGCCGTCTCTCTGGGTCTCTAACTCCAGGTCCCGGCTCTGTGAGTCCCGGCCACGCGTGGCCCTGCTCCCACGTGGCATCTGGTTCCTGCTGTCGACCGCAATGATCTCCCAGTGAACGAGCTGTCTGTCTGGCCTGGGCCTTTGCTACATGCGACCAAGGGCCTTGGCTGCGTGCTGTTTGGAGCAACAACTGACTCAGTGATTACAAGTGAGGGCGTGGTCCCAGTCAGGCCAGCAAAGTCTGTGCAGACAGCAAGCCGCCGCCACCACCGGGCGGCCTGACCTCCAGCCCCTTTGCAAACGGCGAGGGCCGCCTGGCTGCTGGGTGGGGGTGGGGTGGCTCCCGCCGCCTCCACATGCCGCCTCCGTCGCTCCCTCCAGGTGAACCTGCCTTTGCTATTTCCAAGGCGTCAACATCTACGTTGGACGCTCCTCCCTCCCCTCAATATATTTTTTAAAAATATACTTTTGATTTCAGAGAGGAAGGGAGAGGGAGAGAGAGACAGAAACATCAGTGATGAGAGAGAATCATGGATCGGCTGCCTCCTGCACGCCCCACACTGGGGATCGAGCCCACAACCCGGGCCTGTGCCTTGACCGGGAATTGAACTGTGACCTCCTGGTTTATAGGTTGAAGCTCAGCCACTGAGCCACGCCGGCCAGGCCCTCCCCTGAATCTTAACCAGAGCTGGTGGCAACTCCAACCCAACCCCGGCAGGTCTGACCAGGGTCTGGCCAGGGTCTGGCGTGGTCTCAAACCCTGGGCCCCACCGGTCTTTCTATAAATAGCGGAAGAGCAAGTTCAAGGCTCCCGGGCAGGCCCCACAGGAAGGGCCACTCTGCTCACCTCTTTACAGTCCCGCCTCCACGCCTCATTCATCTGAAACACGTACCACGGGGCTCCCTGCTGCTGTCACCGTGAAGGTCAAAGTCTTCACCTGGACCCCAGGCCCTGTGTGGCCCGCCCCCGCCCGTCCCCGCGGCCTCCAACCCATGGACGCTGAGTGTCCAGAGGACCTGCTGGGTCAGTGCCGCCCCCTCACTCTCGGGTCACCGCGCTCTGTTCGCGCTCAGGGTGAAGGAGCGGGTGTGACGTACCTGGCATGTGGCAGGCGCTCAGGACGCCGCTCCTCCCGTTACCGAGGCCTGAGCGTCACTCCTCCCGGGCCAGGCTCGTCCCTCCCCGGGCCGGGCTCCTCGGGGGCCTGGGGCTGCGGTGGTCGGGCTCTGGAAAAGCGGAGAAGCGGACTGGGCGGAGCCGGAGGGAGAGCAAGGGCCGTGCAGGGCCTCAGCGGCCGAGCAGCGCCTCTCTCCCGGGACGGGACGTGGGGCGGCTGCACCCAGGAGCCACTGGAGGAAGAGCCGTGGATCCAGCCCGGGGCCGCCTGGGGAGCCACTGCCCAGGTTCTGAGGCCTCGGGACAGAGATGGACAGAGGTCCCTGGCGGGGGCGGGGGACGGGGAGGGCTCCCCACGGTGCGAGAGGACGTGCTGAGTGGACGCTCCCATTGGCCCTCGCTCAGGAGCCAAGGGCAGCGCACATCCCGAGCCCAGAGGCGCTGCCTTCGCTCCGAGTTACATCTGCAGCCGGGGCGCCCGGGTCGGGCGGGACAGACGCTTGGTAACTCCCCACGGAGCTCCTTCCGGGCTCACAGCCCGGCCAGGCCGCCCCGTGGGTTGAAGGGAAGGACCAGGCTCCTCGGGAGAAGGGGGCCGGGAGGGGAGGGAGGCTCTGCGGGCTCGGGGCGGTGCTCGCTTGGGAGTGAGGGGCCTGGGCGCCCGTTTAATCAGGAATCTGCTTGATCTGGGCCGAAGGATTAATCGCAGGTGACACCGGCCCTCCCAGGGCTGACAGAGCTGTTCTCCTCGGGTGTCAGCTCGATCGCAGGGAGCTGTCACGGCCTCGCCCCGGGGAGCGCAGGACACGCTTCTCTGGAGGACGCCGTCTCCTTGGCGTCCCCAAGGCCTCCCTGTTCGGCGGCCAGGACAG